GGGTTTAGGGGTTGAGGGATTTAGGATGAGGGTATGTTAGGGTTTAGGGGTTTAGGGTTATGGTATGTTAGGGTTTAGGGTTTAGGGTATGTTAGGGTTTAGGGTTCATGAACGGCCGTAGCAGTGTTATAAGTTATAGGGCGTTTTGCATCACAGACTGCTGCTGCGAGAAAGTTGCTCTCTGGTCCAATTCTTGAAATTGCCCAGCCCTGGTCCCTAGCTACTGCAAGGGCGGTGTCCTGGACTGAACCCCCGGCCCAAGGCCTGAATAGCTCAGAACCCTCGACCCGAAACCTGACAAAAAATACACTGATCCACTCCCCTTCTTCAAGAAAGAGCCTTCTAGACATCTCCTAGGCAGCCCTAATGTTGAATAAAGCAGCACCCCAGAAGCCAGAAGGACCCCAAACCCAATAATCCTAACCCATGCTTCGAAGCCCGAAGCTTCAAAGTACTCTGAAACCCTAAGCATCAAATCCTCCATGCCATGAACTTACCAACCACCCAACCAAACCCGTCATGCCCCAACCCTAAGCCCTCAACCCTAAGCCCTAAGCCCTAAACCCTAAGCCCTAAACCCTAAGCCCTAAACCCTAAACCCTAAACCCTAAAGCAATTTGCTTAGAAAACCTTCTGACCCAGGCCTTTGCAGGCAGAGTCAGACCTTTCCTGCCTCGCGCCTCCCTTCGAAGCCCGGGCCGCGCTTAAGCAGAGTTTGGGAGTTGTGGGCTTGGTAATATAGCAACATGTAACATACCATAATATAACACAATACAGAATAGTCTAAGTTAGTCTAAGATAATGCAAGATAGTGCATTATGGAGTCCTGGGGATTTTTTAAGGGTCACTTGGTCGGCTTTCGGGATCGAGGGTTTGAGGGCTCGGGGTTTTGAGGTTTGCTTCGGCAGCCTGGAGGCTTCTCGGTTTAGGGTTTAGGGCTATTGGGGTTTAGGGCTGTTGGGGTTTAGGGTTTTGGGGTTTAGGGTTTAGGGTTTAGGCATGAGGTCTACAGTTAGGGCGTCGCTTACATTTTCAGGGGACTTAGTAAGTAGAGTCTTAAGTAGGGTATCCAGACTTCTAATTACAGAAGGCTACACATGTCCTTGCTAAGTACGATGATCCTCTAAGTAGACGCTTAACCCCATAGGCCCCTTATGAAAGCCTTATGATGAATCCGGAAGACCCGCGAAGACCTTCTAAAATCAAAACCCCTTTCGACCCTTGTAAAACCCTATAGCACCCTCGTGCAACCCCATGGTGTCACTCTCGACAAAAATGCTTTTGCTGGGTCAAGGAAGAGGCGCCTCCGTGCGGTTGGCACGGCTTCCCCCCCCTTCGCTGGGCTCGGCGTTCGTGTCTTTCCAGGTGGGGCTTAGGGAGTCCTTTAAGGGTTGCTACGCAGGGTTTCGGTTTCGGGTTAAGGAGTTAGAGCTTAGGGTTTCAGGGTTTAGGGTTTAAAGTTAGGGCTATGCGGGTTACTCTGCGGCGGGTTGCTTTGAGGGGAATCTAAAAGGGTTTCTTAGGGTTTTGATTTAGATTTCCAAACTTGGGCTGTTATGGATTGTGACGAGGCTTATAGCTTTTCGGGTTGAGGGGTGCTCATAACCAAGGTTTCGGGGCAACATGTCTAGGGTTAGATAGGGTCCGTGCACACCCTCAACTTTATAGAGCGCTGAAAGAACGCCTTACACAACCCTAAATCGCCGTGGAACCTGACTTTTGGTTAAAAAAACTGTATAGAACCCCTGTCGAGTTTTACAGTAGAGCCCTTATAGGACCCTTGCGGAAGCCTTGTAGGACAGACCTTTACGGAAGCCACATAGGACTCTTATGGAAGCCTTACAGGAGCTCTTATGTAAAGGAGCCTAAACCCTAAACCCTAAACCCTAACCCCTAAACCCTAAACCCTAAACCCTAAACCCCCAAGTCTGCCGGAGGCTCCGGGTTCGCTTGGCCCTCCTGGGCCACGGCCGACGCTTTCAGCGGGCCAAGGGGGCCTCCTGGCGCCTTGGGTTACTGTGTTTTTGGGGCTGTGGGGTTCTCTGGTCCCAAGGTCCTATGAGAGTTCTGTAGGAGGTGCTTTTGGGAAAAAAAGGTTCGCTTTTGTGACTTTCTTTCCTTTTTTTTTTGGTGGTTGCGATTTGGGTCTTCTTAATCTTTTCCTAAGGGAGCCGGTGCAAAATGATTTGCTCCCTTGCCCAAGGAGTTGGTGGGGGCCTCCCTGGCAGTGCTTTCTATTTTGGCCGCCCGAGCCGCAAGGCCCAGACGGAAGTGACCGGGGAGGGTCGCCCTTTCTGTGTGAGACGTTGTTCGGATTCTCGCAGATACAGGAGCTTGAGAGGAGCTGACTCTTTTGTGGGATCCGATCGGAAAGTTGTTCCAGGAGAGGATCTCCGGCAATGTTCTCACCAGTTTCCTGAGAACAGAGCCTCTCCTATGCAAGGCCATCCGTTTCAACATATAGAGCTTGCTGACGTGACCGAAGTAAGAGAGGAAAAACCACCGAAGCGACATCGGTGCGTCTGTGTTTCCGTGTGAGCCATGGAGCGTGCTGTGGTTGTGAAAGAGCTGTCAGGCTGCACAGTTTGCCAATCTGCAGCCATTGAAAGTTTCAGGAATAATTATGCCTGGGTCGCGACAGCCGACCCAAAGGCTGCATGTCGCCAGCTCGAAATGGATGGCAACATCCCTGCATCAAGCGATCTCGCACTGCTTCCAGCAGAGTTGCAGTAATGCTGGTGCTCATGGCTGGCTTGCTTAGACTTGGCAGAGATCGCAGGAATCTGCTCTTCACGCCATGCTCCTTACCCAGCCGTGCGCCCAGCGCCGTGACTCGTGCCTATGGTGGCCCCTGGCAGGACGAGGCGCAAGTGCACGGCGAGATGTCTCTTGACGAAATGCAAGAAACAGATGATCATCATCAGCATGCCTGGAATGCTACACGCATAGTGCTCGCCAGCTCTCTGGTGGCCTTGCTCCTGTCCTTTGGCATCTCAATGTATCTCTCTTTCAGCTCAAATTTACCCTCCAGTGAGCAAGTCACCTATGCTGCTTGGTATTCCAAAGTCGCCGACAGGATTCGGGCTCTGGTGGCCCAAAAGCCGGCCTCAGGACCCCCCTCCGTCGCGGCGCGAATCCGTAACATCAGCAGTATCCTAGACGTCACGCAGGAGGACATCTATACCGAATTCTGGCAAAGTCTGTCCTCAGATGTCCTCATCTTTCGCGCCTACTACCCGCTCCTAGACTTTTACATCAATGCTACCTATCCGCATCCCACTCCGCAGCAGGAGCTCCTATGCAAATCGCTGCGTTTTGAGCTATTCCGTTTCTCAAGGGCCCTCGATGATTTTGACGCATGCGTTAACGCAAAGAACAGTCGAGGGACGGAGAAGGCATTTGCTGAGCTGTCTGTCGCTTATGACCACTACTTGAAGGCTGCAAACTTGTACGAAGGCTACGACCCCATGACTAGCACAGAGGTGCTGTACAAGGATGTGGCAGACTCTCAGCTGGTGTATACACCTATTGCGGTACAAAAGCCGGCAATTCGGGACGAAGTGCTGGTCATTCGAGGCCCAGACAAGGGCAAGATGGGTCGTGTGATATGGCTATATGATGGGCTCACTGCCACAGTGAAGCTCGAACCTAATCCACTTCTGGGCGGTTCGCAGATGAAGGGTGTGCGGGAAGTTAAGTCATTTCCGCAGACGTGGATAGCTCTGACCAGAACGAATGAACAGAATCGTATTCTGGACCTGGTTCTAGCCGGTGTCGCGACCTTTTTCACTTGTTGCATCACTTACCCTCTTGAGACGATCAAAGCACGGCTGCAGGCTGGGCAAGCAGCTCTTCCAAAGGGGGATGCGACAGTCGTCGTTTCAGACTTGTACAGTGGCTTGTTAAGCACTCTTGTCAGGGAGGTGCCAGCAAAGAGCCTTTACATCTCTGGCTTCAACAGCATCACCCGGTTCTTCTGCCTCCTACCTTTTGTGGACGCGAACAACGCAGACCTGAAGCTGCTCGTGATGATCCCTGCAGGGGCCTTGGCCTACTTCCCAGGGACCTTCCTCAGGGCTCCCTTTGAACTCTTGAGCCGGCAGCTTCAGACTGGGGTCTATAAGTCCGAGGAGGCGGCCGTGGAGGGCCTCCTAGCAGATACCGAGGGCCTCAGAGAGACTGGGATCTGGTGTTTTTTGGGGGATTTATTATTTTTAGTTACCATGATAGGGATCTATAGTAACTAATATTGTTTCCTTATTGTGGCAACTTAAAAATTAAATCCCTGAACAAGAGCCCAGGATAAGTTGGTGAGAAGTTGGAGCCTCGTCGTCTTGCGTGGGCTGCCTTTTGGCGCTTTGCAGTACTCTCTCTATGATTTCCTTCACGAAAACGTCGAGTTGGTCCCGTTTGGCATACCGCTGAGCCTCCAGCCAGTGATCTGGGGTGCTGCTTCGGGAGCTCTTACAGGACTGCTGACTAATCCGCCCGACCTTATCCTGTCCGTACTCCTTGCCAAGGAACAGCCTGAGTCATCGGAGTCACGGGCGGAGAATATTCTTGAAGCCTCGGGCCGAGCCGCACAGTCGATTTATGACTCGGAGGGCTTTGTGGGCTTCTTCCAGGGGGGAGCTGCGAGGGCTCTCCAAATCGGAGCCGAGTCTTGTGTTTTCTTCACAATCTTAGAAGCGCTCAAGGATGGTGCTAAGCTCATTCTTGACTTTTGAAGAAAGCTCAAGACGAAGGGCCTGGACTGGAAGTTCTAGACGGAGCTTTTGTCCTCATGTTGTCAGCTCAGTTAGTTTCGTTGGTTTCCAGTATCCAGAATCTAGGCCCTTTGCAGTTGTTTCAGAACCAAGATCGACATGCCCATGCGCTAGGGTCATGGGATGTCTCACTAGGGAAACCGGCCAGAACTGGCTGTTTAGCGTCGGAGGGGTCGGAACTCCGCATCGCTACATTCAGTCAACCCCGGTGTCGAAAAGGCAGGGTGAAAGCACCAAGACCCAGATCCACGAATGCATCCAGGTATGTCCAGGTAGTCGGAAGTAAGGAACAGAAAGCAGATGGTAAGGAACAGCTTACAACTTGTCGCAATCGTGGTGGTAACAGCAGTAATATTCATAGAACCATTAAATTATAAGCACCCGGTGAGTGAGTCAGAAAAGCGTTCTCGTCCCCGTCCCCGTCCCGCGCAGCAGCTGCAGCCGCGTGGTGGTGTTGCGGTGCTGCTGGGATACAGTGGCGGAAGATGTAGAAGGATGGTGATGGTGATGACCACGACGACAGATGTACGGTGTTTCATTATGATGTCGTTTGCAACCATCGCAACAGTGTTCGCAGCGACCGACACCACCCGAAGCGATGAATAGCACAAGAAGATGTATTCATGTTCAATGAGCATCGTCGATGTCATCATCACCAGCAAAGGATAGGAACGACAACATGTTGTGCACTGTGGTGGCTTGATTCCAGGATGCGGCCATCCGGGAAGCCGGCAGCAGATGAAGAGACAGCGGCACGTGCCTTGTGCCCAGGTCCTGAGCGGCGTTTGGGTGGTAGTCGAGGTTGTCACGATCACTTTGCACACAGGTTTGACCTCGAAGCCTAAGCCTTTTTTTTTCAGAAGTTTTCCCAGGTCGTCACCCACTTGCTATTGTTGCGCCTGCCAACTCACACACTGAGCCCGAGGTAGCACTGCGTATGTTTGCTTTGTGGTGAGACAACATGTGTCGGATTCAGGGCTGCAGGGCATCACCACCGGCCGGCAGGATGCACATAAACTAGTCGCAAGCTTGGAACATGACGAGTTGCGGACTGGCTCATGGCTCTTCGAAGAACCATACGCTGATGCTAGTGATGGTGGTACTGGTGATGAAACAAGCTCTAAACCCTCAAAGGTGCACTTTTCTGCGGCTGTTCTCATCAAACCTGTTGTGGCAGCTCTGCAGCAGTTGAGTTTTGGACAAAGGTTCCAAAGCTCCACAAACCCGAAGAATGGCTTATCATCATCCGAAGCCCAACCAATGCGATGCATACGTACACATGTATGTATAGGGAAATACGTATAGATAATTCAAACATATGTATATGTACGCATATATATATGTATATCTATATCTATATGTGTATATACATACACATACAGATACGTTGGTTGTAAATACTCATATATCCCTACAAGCCATGGGTGCGACAGTATTCCCCCGTCAGCACAAAACTCCAAACCCTACAGTCGAAAGCCTAAACCCCCTAAACCCTCAGCCTGAAGCTTCTGTCGCAGCCCTTAGAGTAGCCTTTCGCAATCCTCATAGGCAACTCTTTTAGTTAGAGCCCTCTAGTAACCCTTGCAGTCACCCCTAAAAACCTTGATGTCATCGGCCTTTCGACTTCCACCCGGGGCTGCCATGCGCAGCGCACTGGACCTGAAGCAGAATGCCGGGGCCTGAGTAATATACTTTAAGTTACAGTTTATATGTATTATATATATATATATACACATATACCAATATATATATATATACATACACATACACATACATACATACATACATATGGTACCAACACCGGGAAGCGTGCTTTTGTGCTGAGATTCCGAATGGAATTGAAGCTAGCGCCTCGGCGACTGCCACCAGTTCCAGCATTGCTGGTTCACTACCGGCGAGAGCACCGCACCGACAACGATGACGCCGACTGTGCCATTGCCACAAGTGGTGGTGGTGCTGCTGCCACACCATAGCAGCAGCAGTGGCAGCAACAGCAGTCGCTTTAGCAGCAGCAGTAGCACCAGTAGCACTAGAAGCACTGATAGCACCGGCAGCGCTAGTAGCACTAGTAGCACTAGTAGCACTAGTAGCAGTGGCAGTAGCAGTAGCAAAAGTAGCAGCAGCAGCAGCAGTAGCAGCTCTAGTTGCAGCACTAGTAGTAGTAGTAGTAGTAGTAGTAGTAGTAGTACTGCTCACATTCTGCACTCTTTCTACCGCCCATGTCCAGCCTCGAGCCTCCACTTCTCATACCGCGAAGGTGTTGGGCAAGCCTGCCACGGCGACTCGGCGGAAGATCAGTGCAACCATGCAAACACAATCTCACATGAATAGCCCAGAGCCCTCGACCCGAAACCTGAAAAACAAAACTGAATCCCCCCTTCGAGAAAGAGGCCGCTAGACAACTCCTAGGCAATCCTAATGTTGAATGAAGCAGCACCCCAGAAGCCAGAAGCATCCCGAAACCCAAAACCCCTGAAACACAGCCTTCAACCACACCAAGCCCAAGGCACCCTTAAAGTGTTGTAAGTAAGTCTGAGCACTCTGTCAAACTTTGTCTGTGACGCAGGAACATTTTGAGCATCAAGCGAGCAGCACGAGCCGAGTGCGTCAGCCTGACTTTGTCGCAGCCCTCGCCTCAGTTGCCCATCCTGGCTCACGACTCACGCCAGGGTTTGAAGCTCGCGAATATGCCCGCAAGTTCCAAAGAGCCTTAATTAAGGAGTATAGTTTAAATCATAATATTGAGGCCCCGATGATTGAAGGTATTTTCCTTATTTAAGGGGTATTGGGCTCTCTGGGTTCGCAGCAGTGAGTTTGGGGATTAGGGTTTAGGGGAACTTCAAGAACTCCCGGGCCGAGTCCAGTCCCACAAGCCCGATGCCTCTAAATGCCCTCGGGAAGACTGCTTACACACAGCACGGGTGTGGTGGAGGCGCATGTAAGCAATGCTTCGACTCAGGTTGATGAAGAGTACCAAACCTGATCCAGAATCCTGCATTCGAACTGCGCGACTTGGAACCAGAGGTGTGGTTTGCTCCAGGGGATACTATAACTGTCCGAACAATTGGTGAAAGTTGTCCCCTATAGTTTTATTCAAACTTATAGTCTTTGTAAATACTCGGCACTCCTAAAATCCTCCAGTTTGCTTTAGGGTTTAGGGCTTATCTGCTCTGGTTCCCGCTCTTGACTTGTGTGGCTCTGGATGCTGCTGTCGCAATTGCTGCGCTGCCTCTGTCGTGTGTCAGGAAATGTTCATGTTCTGACTATTTTTTTATTGTTATGTTTGTAATCACTAGTAGCAGTGTTACTTGCCACGGATCGTCGAATTGATGTTCTCTTTGCTCTGCTAACTCGCAGTGCGCGTGCTCCTGGTATCATCAGGCTTGGTTTGGAGTGCTTTGGAGTCCTACTTTGGAGTCCTCCATACTGTTGATGTCGCTGAAATTGGTAGTAGTTTCGCTCGTGCCTGGTGGAGTTGTGCAATTATCTCATGTATGTCTAGCCAGACCATTTGCGCCAGCCTGGTGGCACATGACCACGAGCATCGTCGTGATCATGATGATGAGATGTCTAATGATGATCATAAGCGTGGTAGCCGAGGCAATGGCTGCACGATCAGCTGCCGATTCGCTTTGCCAGGCGTATTGAGGACAGCCGTATCACCCGCGTGTCCACGACAAGGGCTGTTGGATGGCTCGTGTGAAGCGATAGATTTGCTGGTGCAGCCAAGCCGTGCTTTTTGATTGGTGTTTGTTTTGAGACCACCTTGATTGCGAAGCAGCTTCTCATATGGCGAGATCTTGTGTAGTGAAGTGCTTCGGTCATCTTTGCAAAAAATCTGGGATGTTGGCATCATGCTTGGTACGAGTGTGATTCCCTTTTCACGCTACCCTGACTAGCTGCTTTTGAAAGGACATCCTGCAGCTACCTCATGTGGTGGTCATCAATCCTCAGATCAACAGCATCCTCTCGACTTACCTGGAGACGTTCGAAGCCATTCACTCTTTTCCTCCGATTCGGACGCAGGAGACTCTTTTCAAAGGGTCGTGTTACTGCTTAATCAGCAGATGCTAAAACCATTATTGTTCCAGGCTATACAACCATTGCCATTGTTGTGAAGACAGGAAGTGGTGGTGGTGGTGGTGGTGGTGGCGGTGGTGGTGGTGGTGGTGGTGGTAAAGAAGTAGCAGTGGCAGCAGCAGTGCTGATCAGTGCTGTAGCATTATTGCAATGCCCACGCGTAGAACACCTGCAAACAGAGACCAGTTCGACCTAAGAATCCCACTGCAGTCAGTCCGGACAGAACAGAATGGAGAGCAAGCCCGCACGACTCTCTTTTTTCCGCCACGAGGGCGATACAGTCGGGCAGGTTCGGAAGGAGCATGCTAGGCATGCGAAACTGCAATGACACTCAGTGCTGGGGTGAAGAAAACAAGCCCCCTCACACGCTTTGCACGTGGAAGACAAGAAAAGAGTGCTGGGGTTAGGCACAATTAAAACCCACAACCCCCATTGCGGCGGGAGGGCGGGGCAAAATTTGAGAGAAAGGGCAAGAACGACCCTCAACTGTTGGCCGACCAACGTGGAAGCTTGAGGGTCAACACTTGAACATGCACTACAGTATGCGGGTATGGCATGGTCGCTCAGACATGTGAAGCAAGTCAAGCAAGAACAACTGACAACATGAACATGCTGCAGGCGACGCAAACGCAAACCTGGATGCTACACCGCTAGACGAACAGCCAGGTACATGGTTTGCTTTCAACACTGAGCCATGTGCAATATCTCGTCAAGAAGTAGAGGTTTGCGTATATCTCGTCAAGAAGTAGAGGTTTGCGTAGCAGTGGAGCAGGAGTAGGAGCCGGAGCAGGAGCAGGAGCAGCAGCAGGAGCAGTAGCAGCAGCAGCAGTAGACGTAGCAGTAGCGGTCGGGGTCGTGATCGCGGTTGCGGTTGCGGCCGCAGTCGCGGTGGCAGTAGCAGGAGCAGCCGCCGTAGCAGCGGCAGCAGAAGCAGCGGCAGCAGAAGCAGCGGCAGCAGAAGCAGCAGCAGCAGAAGCAGCCGTGGAGCAGCAGCATTAGCAGCAGCAGCGGCGGCGGCGGCAGCAGCAGCAGCAGCAGTAGCAGTAGTAGCAGTAGTAGCAGTAGCAGATAGTAGCAGTGGCAGTAGCAAAAGTAACAGTAGGCAGCGGTAGCGGTAACGGTAGCGTAGCGGTCACGGTCGTGGTCGCGGTCGCGGTTGTGGTCGCAGTAGCAGTAGCAGGAGCAGTAGCAGTAGCAGTAGGACCTTAGGAGCAAGAGGGCGTTAGAGTGGGAGTATGAGGATGAACAGATGACTGCCGTGATGTGGCACCAGCAAGATGTACCGTGAATCTGGGGGTGGAAAAAATTCTAAGACCTGCTAACGCAAATGTTATGCATTGGTGTCTCACCGGATGCTCCCCGGCTTCAAGACTTTGCAATGCCTACTTACACAATCCCGGAGTTGGTAGCAAACAAGAACAGGGCATCACAGTTCTTGCTTCTCTGATGCCTGAAACCGCATTTAGCATTGGCAGAAGCAGCGGATACTGTTGTTCGAGTCCATCCACATGTGGGTCCGAAGAGTGTGCATGAAGACCAGTGTGTGGATCCATCGAGGAGGGTCAGTGTTGCGCTCACCTGAATTCGCAGGACAACGAGATGGCATTTCTGCAAGTCATTCGCGAGCAACTAGCACTCCTGCAAGATTTCTCCCACATTGTTGGCACTTGACGGTTTTAGTGTGCCCAAGGCAAAGCACAATCCCGGAACCCGCTTGATTGCGGAGGGCTACCGTGAAGTGTGGCGGCCTTAGTCATACCGTTAGCAGTGCAAATGCCGTATACCTCTCGAGGATCAGAGGAGCTAGTAAGTAAGGTTGCAAGAACCCGAAGGAGGCTTCAAAATAGTTTGAAGCGCTTCGCGTCGTCCGCCTGGCCCGGCTGTTCTTGAAGCAGTTGCATTGATTCGGAATGCAACAGGTAGGTCACACCGGTGAGGTCTTGCGTGAATGAGTGCATTTTCTAAAGACTGTGTTGTTAATGTCAATAAATGTTTTCATGCTGAGGCTCTGAGCAACAATCCCATGCGAAAGGTGTCACATTCCCTGCATTATCCTATAGAAGTTGCTAAAGCATCTATTACAGGTCTCACTTCCCATCTGTTGGAAGGGGAATGGGGAAGCAAGCTTTGCAACAAAGTACAAGACACAGCCCTAGAATTCCCAGGCTTTGGCATCAACTTCACGATTGATGTAAGCTAGCCTGTCTTGCCTCGCCGCNNTGGGGGGGGGGGGGGCTCCCGGCAGAATCTTTGGGCGTAGGGCTTGCCAACGCGGAAGTCCAAACAAAAATGTGGGTGGGTGGGTCACCGGGGAGTGGATGAAGAGGTAGGGAAACAGGGAATCCCTGTCGGTGTGGGAACCTCTGACCGCTTCGCCAGGGCCGAGGCGAAGTGTAAGCATAGCTTCCTTAGTCAAAACCCTACTCGCAAAGTAAGTCCCTTGACTGTTTAAGTAGACCTAAAAGTGCAAACAACCTCATTGTAGCACCTTATCAAAAGTTGTAGAACCTTTGCAGCGCCCCCGAAGATGCCCCGAGTAGCCTGAAGTGCCGGAGCCCCAGGTGCTCGAACAACTCCTAAAAAACCTTACACCGCCTGAAGCTCTGGCCCTAAAGCCCCCCCAAAAACCCTATGTCCAACACAGCTACAGTGGCTCTTGTAAGTCGCCCGAAACCCTAAAGCCTCCATCCTGGAACCCTCTACGGTAACCCTAAACCCCACCCTAAACCCTAAACCCTAAACCCTAAACCCCACCCTAAACCCTAAACCCAAAGGCTTTTAATTGCCTCTTCAAGCCAAGGCGGCGCTTGTATCCCTCGATCCACCTGGATGCATTCTTGCACGATCTTGGGCTCTTGTTGAGGAGCTTCGGGGTTTGTTATGGTAAAGGAAGTTAGGGGTTCAGGCATAGTCAAGGGACTTGGGGGTTTAGGGTTTATTATTTTACTTTTTTTTTAGTAAGGCTTCACGGGCCCTGTGCAAGAGCCCAGGATCACTTTACGACCCGGATCGCTACGAGAATCTTAATGGATAACTACATGGAGATGTTGCCTGGCCCACATGGTGTTGAGGATCTTGCACCGGGGCTTGGAGATTCTGCAATGGGATTCTCAGGTGAGACTTCAAGGACATGGGCTGGGTGACGAAGGGTTTCGTAATTACTGCAAAGAGGCATGTGATTGCCAAATGGTGCCCAGTACTCAGAGGATGTTGTTCTTCTCTTGGGTCTGAGGCGTGTCCCAAGAGAAGAGCACATTGGAGTGGTTCGGCAAAACATGCGGCCGCTCAAGATCGTGCAGGAAATTGCAGGCATGGTCTGCCATTTGTAGTTCTGAGTATTGGAGGTCGACGGTTTAGTAACTATTTATGTTCTATGTTGATGTCACATGTTTCTGGCTTTCAGCATTTGGACGAACCAGGTAGAACTTTGTGCAGCAATAGTCAAAGACCACGTGCGGACATGTACATCCCCCGCATTACACAACTATGTAGACAGAGAATCTCGGCTGTATGCAATATGCGGAACCGCAGCCTTCGGATCTGTTCTCAGGGCTCTGTCAAGGCTTTGACAGCTGACCTGTGGCCCAACCCGGAACCCACGCTAACCCCTCATCGTGGCCTTTATTAGTAATGCCTGTATTTACCCTGATAGTAAGTCTTACAATGTAGGAACCTGATTGAGAAACCCTGGATCAAGAACCCCAATAGAGACCCAGGGTTTCTTAATCAGGTTCCTGCCCAGAGAGCCCAATACCCCTTAATTAAGGAATATACCTTAAATCATGATATTCAGGCCCCTATCATTTAAGGTAGATTCCTTCTTTAAGGGGTATTGGGCTCTCTGGGTACATTGATCCCAGTTTATTGGGATTCATATCAAGAACCCCAATAAAGACCCAGGGTTTCTTAATCAGGTTCCTACATTACTCTAGTAGAAACCCGAAGCCCCTGACTGCGACAGGTGAACTCACTTTGCTCACCACGTCCCTCTACGGCTGCGCCCCCGAGGTCGAATATCGCCGCAAGCTTAGAACAAGGGCGGGTGCGGTTTTGACAAGTATCAGGGGTTTGGGGTCTTTTCAGTGCAGTTTGTAGGCTTCGGAAAAAGGTTTCGAAAAGGTTCTACACCGGGCAAAACTGGGTTCTCTGACGCTTCTTGCAGGGTTGTATGATATGTCTTCAGGTTTAGAGCATTACGGATACTATGACTAGTGTTCAGGTTTGGGAAAGACGGGTGCCACGAGCACTTCGAGTACGTAGTCTTGGGCTTAAGTTAGGTGTAGGGTATCACTGATGCTATGAGTAGTCTGAAGGTCTACGGCTTTAGGGTTCTGCGGGACGAGGGTTCAGGGTTTAGGGAAAGGGCTTGGGGCCAGGGTTCAGGGATTCCTGTTCTAAGGTTAGATTATTACGATTGGTTGCAGTGTTTAGGGAAGTGGGAGTCGTACAGTATTGCAGTGAGAATTGTGCAAGCACAAATCACAAGTCAGACATAAGACTGCTAATTGTAAGAACTTGCCCGCTTTCTGTTGCTACCACTATTTTCCGACAGGGTTAGGTGGATGCGGTGACTGAGGAGCATTTTTTTTGCAGGTCACTGCCGTATTGGGGTGTGCAGGATGTACAGTACAAGTTTACTTTTTTCGAGGTTTCGCGTCTTCAATTCTGCGGCCTTTTCCGGGCATTCCGGGGGCCAGGATAGGTCCCTTCCTCTTTGTGTCGACAGACTCATCCCAAAACCTTGGGGCCAGTCTGGGCAATCCTAAGGCGGCAATCCGGATTGCATTCTTGACTACATTCCCAGACATGTGAAGTACATGGTGAGGCCCGGGGCTGGGGGGGTGGGTGGGGGGGGGGGTTTTGGTATTCGGAAGCCCTGAAGAGAGCTGAGATGGAAGCCAGGTGCAATTTTTCATCCCAACCCTGAAGCCCGAAGTTCGACCCCTCCCCGAAAGGCTCGGTTGTCCGACCAGCAGCCCAACCCCCGCCGCCCGAACAGGGAGCTGCTGAAGAATGCTTTCAGATCCACCGTCGAACGGCATTTGGCGAGGCCGCTACCTTCTTGTCCAAAGATTTCTAGCTCCGTGGTGTAGGCTTGATAGCATAGCATTTCAATTGTTCCGTAAGCTAGTGTTTACACATTTACACATCCTTTGCACTATCCGTAGAAAGGAGTACGTTGTAACTGTAGATTGTAGATTCGGAGGGTCAGAAGCAATCACGTGTTCATTGCAGTTGCTGCTGCAGAATACCTTTCTGTTACTGCTGCTGCTGGTGCTGGGCTGCTGGTGCTGTTGGCACTGCTGGTGCTGATGGCACTGCTGCTGGTGTTTGTGGTTGTGGTTGTGGTTGTCGTTGCGATTGTGGTGGTTGTGGTGGGTGTGGTTGTTGTGGTTGTTGTGGTGGTTGTTGTTTTTGTTGCTGTTACTGATGCATTTTGGTATACATCTGCTTCTTGTTGCTGTGGGAGTTGTTACTGTGCGCATATTTGTATATATATATATATACACACACACATACACACACATACACACACATACACACAGAAAGCCTCGCACATGTATATGCGTATGTGTTGCGTATGTGTATGTTGACATAAATGTAAATGTACGTGTATTTGTACATGTAGTGTATGCATATGTACGGCATACACATGCATATGGCGATTTAAGAAAAATCAATCCATTGAGTCCCAGAAAAAGAGAAAACTTATGAAGTGACAATTAAAAGAGCAACAACAACAAGTAGGAGGATGATATCAAATAGACGTGAACGTCTATGAAACATATGACCAGGCTTTATGGGTGTGCTCGGGTAACATGAATCTAACTGAATCGCATCTGAACAAAATATGAAAAGTGAACAACATTTTCGCAGACCATGCTTTTCGTACCTTGTTAATACTTTTGTTCACAGTGTGTCATGCTTTTTCGTACTTTTTGATGTTATTCTTCCTTATTTCCTCCAAGGAATAAGCCCTCCTCCCCCGTCGGGAGCATAAGGAAACCGTAAGGCAATGCATAAGGACACCATCAGAAACAATACGAAAACACGTGTGAACACGTAAGAAAACACATGAAGCATGTTGCCGGGTCAGTGCTTTTCACCTTCTTATTTTTATGATATTCCTCACATGTTCTTCCTTTTTCTTGCTTTTCCGAAGAACTGAGCCCTTCCCCTCCCGCCTCCTCAGCACGTGGAAAATAAGGAAACGTAAGGAAATAATAAGGACAAAAACGAAAGAAAGACAAGGCGCATATTATGGGCAATATAAACAATTATATATGAAACAAAACAGTATCAAGCCATGGCAGACCATGCTTTTCATTTTTTTTTCATGTGCTGTCGTAAGTTTCCATATTTTCTTATGTTTTCCAGATTTTTTGCTTACTTTCCCAAACGGCTGAGCCATTCTGCCTCCCCACAGCCTCCCCGTCCCCAGGCCCCTGCAGCCCCTTCGGGAAAATTCAGAAGCCATAAGCGAACAAATAAGCAAGACTATGACAAAGTTATGAAAAGCATGGTCTGCGAATATTTGCTCATATTTCGCATATTTTTCATAATTTTCTTAAATGTTTAAGATTTTCTGGCATGTGCAAATTCATAAATGTCTGAGCAGTGTCCATATCCATGCCCATGTCAGGGTCCATATGTGTATATGTATATATATATATACACACACACACACATATATACACATCATGCATGTGCGTGTATGCATAGGTATACACCCATAAATAGACACTGGTGTGATGTTGATGCCCGATTCCTTGCCAGGAGTACCATGTCCGACAAGTTGCCACATGTCGCTGTGGAATTGCAGCAGGGGGCTCTCCTGCTGCGTTCGGCGGGGATGTGGGTCATGATCGCAGCACCTGTGAGGTCTCATGCTTGGCTGGCCGAAGATCAATTACCTCTAACAAGTTTTAGCTGGAAGTTGTTGTGCTTAGATCATGAATGTCATCAGGCTTTTTCCCACAGGGAAAGTATGCGCATTGTTTACCCCTTGGGCGCCGCTGTGCTGGCAGTACTCCCCCATTGCAAGGGTTTAGGCCTGCAAGTGAGCTTTGCCAGGAACCTCAAGGAATGCCAAGTGGCCCTGATCTCTCTTTCCTACAGCGGTCAACTCAAGCCTCCAGCAGTTGCGAGCCACCGAGGACATTCACGTGATCTTTAAGATCTCGGACCAAGGGGGTGGCATGCCCAAGAGTCTGCAGCGTGAGGCACATGGAGACCGACCAGTTTGGTTGCTCATGTTAGCAGCTGACACAGATGAAACTTCGTCGTCATGACTAACACCGTTAAGCCTCACCGCACTGCGAGTACGGTACTACGAGTACTACTAGAACTTCAAGTTAGTGCTGCTAGTACTACTAGACCAAAGTCCGAGATGCCCTTGCAGTTCGATGGCTAGTGGCGGTAGAAACAAGGACTGACATGAAGGGTAAACATATTAGTAGCCGCCACAGTAGTGGCAATGTCAACCCCAGTCCTGATAAGATAGAGGCCCAGGTTTATCTTGTGATGCACACAACCCTTCGAAAAGGTACATGATGATCTCACAAGGACAGCTGTCCGGAAAGTGCACCTGGGAATCTGGTGGTAGCAACAGAAGTAGCAATGCCAATGCAAGACAGACTGAACAGCGCCAACGGTAGAAAATTACACATGCTAAGATGAAACCGATGCTACCAGCAGTGGAATCATCCCTGTAAGCATGCGACCAACCATCGCAATAACTATAGCTGCGACGGAACCAAGCCGATATCGGTGTCATAAAGTTCACATCCATGCTGCTTCCCAGTCCCAGCAGCTTATGCGAAGAACATTCACCACTTCAAAGCGAGCATACCATTAAGTATGACCGTGAGCATGGCTGCGACGCCGGTGGCAGGCTTGGAAGTATGGCTGGACAACGGTGGACGCGAACAAGAAGAGCCCTGAAGCCTTCCAATGCGCGGAGGAGTCTTGCAGCTGCTCGCCTAAACCCCAAACCCCAAACCCTAAACCCAAAACCCCTAAACCCTAAACCCTAAACCCTAAACCCTAAACCCTAAACTATACTGAAAAGAAGCCCCCCTCGCCCGAAGTACCAAGCATCCCACCAGGCCCCTGAAGTCGCCATTGAATGCAGGCATGAAGTCAAAATCTGGAGCCCCTTTTTGGGGCGACATCTTACTAAGGGTTTTGGGGTTTAGGGTTTAGGGTGTAGGGTTTAGGGAATTCGAAGATAGGTATGCTGAAGCAACCATTACCCGAAGAGACCCTTAACCCAACCCCCCCAAACAAGCTGCCGAACCTTCTACCCCGGGCACTAAGCGTAGGACAGTCCTGACCTGTCGCCAAGGCTGGGATCGCGGGATGGATTCCAAAGCGCCCGAGCCCGGGGCACGGTCTCCGGAAGCGCCTTTTGGGGATTTACGCGAGTTCTCTTCCGAGTTTCACAGGGTATCAGAGAGATCTGAAGCCTTTGAGGACTTGGGATCTACTTGGGGTCTTGGGGTGCAGTCAGAGTCTGGGGTTGATTCCGCCGTTCGTGCGTAGCCAGGGCTTAGGTGGGCTTTGGCTTGCATTGGTGGTGTAGTGAGGGTCCAGGTTGCAAGGTTTACTTGGTGGGTTTTCGTGCCTTTTCGGGTGAGTTGGCTGCCCTTGGGACCAGCCCGACCATCCCATTTAGATCAGTAGTGCTTTGCTGCTGGCCTGATGGGATGGGGGTGGGCACAGGATGTGTTTGTGCTGCCGGTGCTCGTGTTGCTTGGTCAGGTGGGCGAAAACAATTTGGGTGTTAAAAGGTAGGTGCCGTCATTTTTTGTGGCATGGGATTTATGCCTTCGGGCGGCAGGGGTGCCATTTCGATGAGCATCACTTTTCAAGTTATATTCCATGCGGCAGGCTCAGACATGCTCAGAATTAATGTCACGGCTTGCTCCTAGGCGCAGCGAGCTCGCGGGATATGGCTTCGGGCTTCCACTGACACGTCGGGAACTCAGGGCAGCATTCGCAGCGATACTTCTTGAAGAGGGGCTCCCGCAAATTGAGTGAACAACGTCGGAAGCTCCACATGTAAACCACCAACGAACTCTAAGCCCGACTCTCTAAACGTGGTCCGAGTATCATGATGCGATCGCCCCCTTTTATTGATGCTCCATCTGTGCGATGACAGTGACGGTTGCAATTGCTCTCAGCATGGCTCCAGTGCATAGTTTTTTGCTTGTTGGCATGACCATGACTCTACCAGCATGACCGCTGAGAATAACGGGAGTAAAGCGGTACAGGAGACACGAGTGTTGCCAGCAACACCCTAAGCCCTGACACCGCCAACCCTCAAACCCTAGCTCCCACACACCAGCACCCGAAAAAGTCCCCTAGACTTTCCCTAAACCTAAACGCCAGAAATGTCCCAGGAGCCCTCAGAACTTCATCCCCAGATCGACCTTAAATCCCTAAACCTTAAGTCCCGAAATGCTCAGGCCTGCATGCGCAGTACTTCGGAGGGGATGTTTTCATGCAAGCGCTGCCCGGCCGGGTCCCCGGCGTTCACAATCGACCTGCGGATTTGAAGTTTTCTGGCTTAAAGTTTAAAGGTTTCGGATATTTTGTAGGTTTTGGGATTCCATGTTTCCCTGGGCTTTAGATTTCAGGCCTTTAGGGGTTTATGGCTATAAGGGTGTAGTGCCTCATCGCGGTAGAGGTTTAGATGGATCTGGGGCTCTATAGGATTTGGGGGACTTAGGGCGTGAGCGTCAGTACCTCTTGAGTGTTCCGGTTTAGCAATTTCAGGAGACCTGGGTTCAGAAATCTGCGCTTTTCTTGGCTTTCCGACTGCAGTGAGTGGTGACTGGTCAGAGTGTATTGATTGGCAGCCATTGCAGTGATGAGCACGGAGTACCCCAATTCCACTCGTGACAGCAGTGAAAAGCGCATCAGCACCGTCTTCGATGCCAGCTTTTAGAGCAACAGCGCATGTACAGGTAACGAGACAAAGACATCAAAGTTTTTCAGCCCAGGTCATGGGACGGATCTGATCCTGATCTTGACCCACCTCAAGGAAGGGACGCCCTCCACGGAGTTCGACGATCTCTCAACTCTCCTCTACAAGAAAGAGCGCAAGCCTGATCGCGAGGAATAGGAGGTGGCCTTGGAGTTGGGAGCTTTTCGGGCTTTTGTGGGGTTGCATCGACCACTAACGCTCCATGCCTAGTATCTGTGTCGTGCGAATGATGTCAAAGCGCTTGATCAGCGTTTGTGGTGTTGCGCGTGGGGTCACCATGAGTCGATGGACTTTGCAGGCCATTGTTGCAGGTCACGTGGTTTCGTCGCTGGATGTCTCCGAATCTCCACAGGAAGTCCTGTCATCTTGTGAGGGTTATCATTGCCATCATCGTCATAATGGCTCTGGCTGCAATTGTCTTTGCACCTTTGTCCTATTGGTTCCGCAGTTCCAATTCTTTACCATGACATGTGTGCAAGCACTTACCCATCATTATTTTTGAATTTTTGCGGCATCGCATGGCCGCCGTCAGTTTTCGAAATTTCATTGTTGCTCGTCCGTGCTGATCTTGTGTACTTCTTGAGCATTATAGCAGTAAGAGTTCTACTTTCTCCATCATCATGGTCATCGTCGTCGTCATCATCATCATTACCATCATCGTCATTGTGGTACTCCTCGTCGTCCTCGTCCTCTTCATCGTCCTCGTCCTCGTCATCGCCATGTCCCTGTCCTCGTGATCGACCTCGACCTCGTCCTCGTCCTCCTCATCGTCCTCGTCCTCGGCATCGTCCTGTCCTCGTCCTCGTCATCGTCCTCATCATCATCATCGTCATCATCATCATCATCATCATCAGTCTTAGCAGTTCAGGCTCCCTGCGTCTCTGTGGCAGCTCACCTGGCGATGAGAGCATGCCGACCGGCACTGCATTCCCACGCAATGCACTTCCGAGTTTGAAGATGCGAAGGTCGTGATCTGTTGCATCAGACAGCGCGCCACAGAAAGTTGCAGAAACAGGCAGCAGCGCCACACTGCTCGCGACGACTTCCAGTCTGAGTCAGTCTCTACACCCATGTGTCTTTCAGGTTCTGTCGCAGCTGCAACGGTGTCAGTCCGACGTCGCGGAGCCCAGTATTTCCCCAGAGTTACTGTGACTGCCCCTGCCCCTCCCTTGCCTTTTCCTCGTCTCAGAGCTCAGGCTCTTGAGGACGAGCAGAGCTCAGAGCTCATCTCCAGAGCTTCAGAAATTCAGCTTCAAGAGGCCTGGCCCAGAGTTAGATCCTGAAAGTCCTGCAATGAAAAGGTGCGCGGCTCCTTCTGCAGCTGCAAGCCGACCTGCTCAAGATCCGTCCCGAACTGAACTTTGGACTCAGAAGTTCTTCCTGTCCAGTGTGGCTTTGAGTCGACTTGAAGCCCGGGCTTCAGGCAAGGAAGCGCCGAATGCAGCCGTGCTGATCTCGGGGAGATCTCGCAGAGTGGGGCTTCCCTTTAGAGCACCTCTGCGCAGGGCCCCGCCTTCGCTTCAGTCAGGTGCTCCGCGCAGAGCAGGAGCTGCAGAAAACCGCCAGAAGCAGGGGTGAACATGCCTCAGACGGAAGTCCAAGTAAGCAAGGTTCCTGACCAGCATTGCCGCATGCCTGCGAGTGATCTTTTGATTTCTGCATGTCATTTGAACTTTGGCCAAGCTGACCATCAGTTTCAAAAGCATGTGTATCAAGGTCAAGCTGAGGCCGTCAAAGTTGAAGTTTCCTGGAGGCAAAGGGGTCTTGGTCATGTTTGCTTGCGGCCTCGTGTAGTGCAGTTTATTCTGCAGCTGCTCAAGAATGCACTGTGCGGCTGTCGTTGCGACTACCGGACCCCTCATGAAGCCCCTGTAGGTTTCCCAAATATTGTTCAGGCCTTCAAGATTTCCATTATGTTCATGGCAGCAGCCCTGTGGCCACAGCCTTGGGTTTATGTTTTGCCCTTGTCTACCTAAATCCTTTTGAAGCCCGCACAGGAACCTCCAGAAGACCCATATAAAGCCCTAGAGAAACCCGACAGAAACCCCACAACACCCTTGTGCCAGCTGTCTCTGGCTGATTGCTGGGTGAGGCCCAGCCTTCGGCTGCCAATGCCACGAATCGCAAGAAAGGCCGGAGCCTCGAGCCGCAGGGGTCGGGAAGGGTTCTCTAGGAATCTACGAGGGCTAGGGCCGGGGTAGGGGAGGGTGGGGGCCTGAAGAGCCAAGCATAGGCAGGCCTATGCACGTGTGTGAGTGTACATATTAGATGCATATATATATATGTATATGT